TTGAAGACACCAGTCCATTTGTACCCATTAGTTGATGTGTTGACTTCTGTAAACAAGTTGATAAGTCAGGAAGAGCATTTTGGTTTCCTGCTTGAGGTTTCTCCTTCTTGGTTGTTCTCCGTCCACGTGATTCTGCAGGATTCAGATCTTGAGACACTGTGGTTTCTTTACTATGCAAGATGGAAGCTTTGTCACCTGAAACAGGTTTGTTAAGTTCTAGAAGAACTTGCAAAATCGGGCGACAGGTCCTGTGAGGATTCCTTCGACGATGAGAAGAGAAGTTATCTGATGAACTCATTCCTGCAAACATAGATGTCTCAAGGCATCGGCATAAACAAGTTTGGTCTCATCATGCTGGGCTGCAAAGATAACCACAGTGACGTCTATTACTCCGTTGTAACTTGTAACCAAATGCAACTTGCCATAAGCTTTACAGGGGTAAAAAGTCACATAGCAACAAACAGCCTGACAATAAAGCTGATAAACTAAGAGCTTTTACTGTAAAGATATAAAACGCATGCCGTTAAATGCATTAGGCTATACTATATATATCAAATAAACTATAAGACCGATCCAGCAACTGCATCACACACTATGGTAAACTTAACAATGATCATATAGAGAAATTTACCCTTTAAAGCCGCTGTTAGTTCCTGTAAAAACTTGGGTTAGCTGAGATAACTGGCATAATCCAAGTGCTTTAGCTTGAAATATTCGCAAACAATCAACTGTATAAGATCCGTAAGATGACGGATACAATGATATATACATTCAAAATGCAACATAAAGTAAGTAACGTTATATAAAAGACATCAGACGTGTTAACTAGGAGCGCTGTGTATTAGCATTAGCAGCTCCATGGAAAACTAACGTAAACACGGTCAGTCAGCATGTTACAGTACCCTCAATCTGCAGAAGCATGTTTAGTTGCTGCTGTTTTTTAAAAAGTGTCAAATTAAATAAATTGTAACATAAAATGTGTGCGCTCATATGAATGATTAGTACATGATCACCTTCTCGTTGGATTTTCAGCTGTTTACGAAGCGCTCAGTTGATCAGCGTTTCTGTTTCAATCAGGAAGTTGGTTGAGTTCTGCTATTCCCTGCAGAAGAGCCACGCAGAAGCACAGTCTCGTCTTTCTGTCTTTCTTTCTTTCTTTCTTTCTTTCTTTCTTTTGAGTCAATTTAGCAATTTTATATTTAATTTAAATAGACTTAAATATTCAGTAAATAATTATTATAAACCTACCTATTTTCAAAACATGAATAAAAAACAAACAACTTAAAACAGAATTATAAATATGTATCTTATCTTTAAAGGGGAAACAATCTGGTATGTCTAAAGAAAAGGAATTAATTAATTTAAAAAATATCAAATGCAAATATGTTAATGTCCACCCAAATTTATTCACACATAACAACAACAAAAATAATATAGGCCTATCATTGTTTATTTCATTTACCATGGAAATATCTCAGAATTACTTATTATGAAGAATACCGTGTCAGTATATTTTATAGCACTTTCCATGTAGGCTACTAATTTACTTTTTTTTTTTTTTAATCAAAGTAAAATATTTTCATGTCATCACAAATTTATTCACACATAATGATGATGGTGATCATTGTTATTATTATTAAATAACTATTGTTTTTAATAATAATAATACTTTATTTTTATTATTATTTCACATAACTGTATATGTCAGAATGTCTCAATATGAAGGAGATTATGTCACTTTCTATGATAATAGGCTACATATAGTCCAAAGAGGTTCGTCCTCTTTACATATTAACTTAGTAGCCTATAGTATAACATCTTCTGTAGGCAATAATTCAAGTTTAATGTAGGGGCCATATTGTGATGACGTTTTTTCTGTTGTTATGGAAGTCTTCTGTTCTTCACACATTAACCTTGCAGTTCTCTCTGTAAAATGGGATAAAGAAACGAATGAAACAGCGCACTGTAAAATAAACTTCTTGTATGATATACTGTACGGTCGATTTATAATCACTCACACTTGCTTGACAAGGTAAGTTGTTTTGGAGTCACAGGCTTTCCGCTGACTCTCTGCTGCCACCTGCTGGCTCCTCGCGGCATCCTGTAACGCTGCGCATGCATCCAAGTGATGCGATTCACTGGTCAGATTCACCCACAGAATCTCAATAAGAGCTGCGCAAATCACAGTAGGCTAATGAACACGTTTTCATACATTTATTATCGGTCATATTCTGAAGTAAACTGTAAGTGATTGAAGCTCATGCAATAATAAAAATGAATAAAATGTCATGATAAAGTAGTCAACATTTAGGAAACTAAAGGAAACTTTTACCTAATGAAAATTATTTTATACTTATTTTATGTATATATTTATATATGAATTTATAGTATTATTTATCACAGAATCTGGATGGCACACTACATTATGCTCCTTAAAAACAGATAATTGTGATCTCATGGAAAAACATGCAGATGACGTCTTTGGGTAGCCTACACCAACTTTATCATTTATGAAAAATATTTCCATTTTAGGCTCTCCTTCTTACCCTCCTGTTGAGCCAGCTCAGAAAAAAGTCTTGCATGTTCGCTCTGGTGCATGAATCTTTGATTTTGCAAAGCTGTTAAATTTTTCTTTAGGATCATCTAAAATAGGGGGGAAACATCCAATAAAATCAGTATTACCATAATAAAAACCAATTAAATTAATTATTTAGTCTCTATATCAGTTTTTTAATTATCCTTACACAATAGTACTGTGGTTAAACTCAGTACAAAGATTCAACGCACATTCATCTCTTTCTGATACTCACTTGCAGTCGCAGACTCTCAGTTAGAGATGCATCTGTTTTCCTCTGGCCCTCTAGAAGACTTCCCAGCTCTTCTTGCAGTTTGGTCTGGTTCTCCAAGCTCAGCTTCAGTGCAGATTTTAAGACCGCTTGCTCTTTTTCCTTCATCACTTTGGCTCCCTCCATCTTTTCAATTAAGGCCTGTTGTGCTTCTCTGCATTGTGTAACACCAGCCAAGGGGGGCCAGGTGGCCCAAACCACAGTGACGATCAGAGAGACCATGGACCACAGCGCCAGGAGAGCCATAATCCAGTTACAGGTGTTCTGGGCTGAATTGGACCTGGCCATGCTGAGAACGACACAAACTAAAGAGAACTTCTGCTGTCTGGTCTGACAGGGAGGGAAGTTTATGTGGATCAGTGTTGAACCAGCTGTGTTTTGCTCGCTGAGGCTGGGCTGTTTCTCTGGATATGAGTGGAATCTACGTCAGCATCTACAATGTTATTTTAAGGACCTTATCAGTGCTCTGCGAAATAATACTGTTTTAGAAAACATCCAGGTTTTCTTTCATGTCCTCATGGCATTATGGTTCTTAAATCAGTGTAATGATCCATAATGCAATAATGAGATGAGTATGGTGGGATTAAGACTGACTAAAATGCAGTAAAGGGGATAGTTTACCCAAAAATTAACATTCTCTCAGCATTTCCTCACTCTTTTTTCTGTCAAATGCACTGAAAAAAAAATTGGTGTAGGATTTCCTTCAAAACAACTGTCACTCAGAAACTGCAAGTAAATTTTACAAATAATTAAAAAGAAACAGCAAGTAACACATTGAATTATATGTGAAATTCTTGAAGTACAACTGAAATAGTATTTTCTTGTAAAACATACTCCAATAATCTTTTGAAAAATCTGATTTAAAAAAAAATCATTTATTTTACAGTGCACAAAAGATTATATTTTGAAAAATGTCTATGTGTATTTTGTCCATACATTAAAAGTCAGTGGGATCCAATATTTTTGGACCCCACTGAGTTTCTTTATAAAAATTTGAAACATTATTTAAAATATTAAGCAAGTCATACATGTTTAAAAAGACATGACGGTGAAAAAATTACAGCATTTTTGGTTGAATTATCCCCTTTAAATGAACTTGATGACAGAATAAATTCATTTAAAATTGACCAAAGAAACTAAAAAAACTGGAAGGTTCATGTCGCCAGAGCTAAACAGAGACATACACTGTTGACTTATGTCAACACATCTCATGGGAAGCTAACAGTTGTCAGAATATTCATAGATGTCCTGTGGTTTGAAATTTCAAAGTAAACAGTTGCATTTACAAGACCCCAAAAATCCAAATGTTTATCTGAATAGCAAAACACGACTATGTTACAATGGAGATGGAAAAATCTTTTGTTTAATTAGAACTCTGGGACGTTCAACATCTCTGGACATGTTGAGAATTAAGATAAAAAGGTTGACAAATGCTCAGAGTTATAAAACACTATAATTCACCTCCCAGTGCATTCCTCAGCCCACACACACCAAATAAAGACACTGTAACTCTATTCTACTTCAATTCTTTTATTTGAATTGACTTTTCTAATGTATATATATATAAACTTGTCGTAAATAAAACAACATAATAACAGGTACAGTACTGTAAGCCAACAGATATGAATATTGCTATGACTTAACTACAAATGAGCACAACCATTTCCAGATACTGATGCTCACTTGCATATGGAATGTCATACAAAAAAATTGAATTTTTGAAGTGTGTTTTGAACAAAAGAAAAGCGCTAAAGCAATAGTTCACCCAAAAAATGAAAATTCTTTTATCATTTACTCACCCTCATGTAGTTCCAAACCTCAAAACTTTCTGTGGAACATTAATGTTTCAACTGTTTTGAACATACTATGACTATACACACACACATACTGTATATACACCAAGACATTTTTAAAAAATATAATTTTTTGCTTTCCACAGAGGAAAATAAGTCACATGGATCTGGAATGGTATGAAGGTAAGTAAATGACAAAATTTGCATTTTTAGGTGAACTATCCCTTTAAATCGTCATATTCATAGATACAGAAGCAGCTTACTGAGTATTAGATATATGTACAGATCATTCAAGACAGCATTTAGGACTATCATAAGTGTAGAAGTAATTTTCTTTGTCTCGTATCATAAAATTAGAATATTACATAACTTTAATAGCTTTAGTAACAACACTGGCTGTTACTAACTTAGGATCCTTGACCAGCAGTCGGCGAATGAAGTCCTTGGCGAGCTCACTTGTATTACTGAAGTACTCTTCATCAAAGTCATAGTTGACAGCTGAAATGTTGGTAAGTGTTTCTTGTTTGGTCTCGCCAAGAAACGGAGAAGCGCCACTCAAGCTACAGTCAATTAATAATGCATTAATATTAGTAAAGCAACATAAAACAGCATCATCTGGGTGTGGAAGGCATGTAATCAATTGCAGCCAAACAAGTAATTTATGTGACATTACAACTTACAGTATATATGTGATAACTCCAATGCTCCTGCAGGAAAGAAAATCACAAGAAAATTAACTCTGAGCAAAACTTAACAACTGGTATACTGAATATCATTTATTTATAACCTAAAAAATCATTCATAGCTATGACTAACCACATATCTGCCTCCAGGCCAAGAGGCTCATAATTAACAATTTCCGGTGCTACAAAAGATAAAAGATATGGCAAAGATTAAGGACTCCTAATAAGGATAAACATTATTAAGTGTTATAATAATCTCAAGTTCTCACCAACAAACTCAGGAGTTCCAAAGATGTTTTTAAATTCATTTCCATCCTTAATCTGATGAGCAATTCCAAAATCTATCAGCTTGATTCTGGGGTTCGGCACATTTTTATCCAGCAGCATTATGTTCTCAGGCTGAAAACAAAGATGTAGATGAGTTTGTTTCTTTATCTGAACAGCTTTGGAGAAATTTAGCATTACATCACTTGCTCACCAATGGATCCTCTGCAGTGAATGGAGCTTTTTCACTGAAGGAAGCATTATTATGGATTATGTATATTAGCCGGAAGCAACGGTTTGAAGTTTAAAACGCCTTATTGATGGATTTAATACAAACATGCAGCTTTTCACTTCCCAAGATGTTAACTGATGGACTAGTATGGACTACTTGTGGATTATTGTGCTGTTTTTATGAGCTGTCTGAACTCTCATTCTGACAGCACACATTCACTATTCTTTTATAACAAATCATCCTAGTGCTCACCTTCAAGTCAAAGTGTGCTATGCGTTTCGAGTGGAGGTAGTGAACTCCATCCAGGATCTGCTTGAGGAACTGTGTGGCCTCCTCCTCAGTCAGTGACTCCTTCTCAGCCAGGAAGTCAAACAGCTCCCCTCCAGACACCAGCTCCAGAATCAGGATCACGTCAGTCTTGTTCTCAAAAATGTCATGGAGGGTGATGATGTTGCTGTGTTGGATCTCTCGAAGGATGTTCACCTCTCGCTCAATCTCCTCTCGGCTCACGCCTCGTCGGCTGGATGACAGGCGTCTCTTCTTGATAAACTTGGCGGCATATTCGGTTCTGGTGCTCTTTTCTTTACATTTACGCACAATGGCAAACTGCCCACTGGGAAACATGGTACAATGATACACAGAGAAAACAGAAATGAAAAAGAAGAAATCATGTCATTGCATATGGAAGATAAGGTTTATGGAATGGGTATATATGTAAACAGAAGTACATACATTCCACAAAACCAAACTCTAGTAACTTTATAAAAGAGATAGAGAGTAACTTATTTGGGTAAATGGTATAAATGCTACATAATGCAACCAAGGAAACTTTAAAAAAGTGGTTGAAGTATTCCCCTGATGGCTCCTCTCTGGCCCATCTGTAGTCTCATTTGCACTACAGCTGTTCTCAGGCTCAGAGAGCGAGCATATGCATTGTAAAGCAGTGATGTCATGCTGCAGCAGCACAGCACAGAATCCTCCACGTCCATATATAGAAAAAAGGCCAGGCTTGATTCAGTGTTTGCAGATTATTAAGTCACTCTGCTGTGGACTTTTAAATTGCAGGACTCTCATAATGTTTGTTGTTACACCGCACTGATAAGCACAAACACTATGTAGCCTTGACAACTCTAGGCCAAACACTATGATGTATTCACTTACCTTTTATTAAAGTGCTTTTGTAATTACATAATTATACTGCTTAATCAAACATTAAGATCTTAGGCTACTTCAAATCTTAATATTTGTTTTATTCACTATGTGTGAGTTCACTTTAAATCAGGTTAAACTAGTTTGTACAGAGTTTTAAGGAGGGAAATGACATCTCTTACCTTCCTAACTCCTCTTTCATTTCATAGCACAGCTCCACATCCTCCTGCCTGAAGCCAGCCATGATTTGCGGTCTTCAAATGAATCAATCTGTTAGAAAATTACCAGAAATAGTGCCTAGTTTAGTTTCACGGTTTTGACGTTGTCTTCAGTCCACTAAAGACTTTGACATTTTGTTGTCAATCACTATAAATGGTTCCTAACTGTTCTTAAGTGTGCACATGTTTTGGTATTTACTCTTGACCTCACGGGAAGTTGGATTTTAAACTGACATGGGAATGAAAAGTTCCAGAATGTGGACATCCTACTTACGTCATTACCTACAGTCATAAACCATGGTTGCCAGATTTTTTTGTGACCTTCTTGTCTTTCTTTATCATAGACCTTTAACAGCTAATATTTTAACACTGCAGTGAAGTGCAATATAAACTCTCTCACACACTCACACACACACACACACACACACACACACACACACACAAATTACATCTCAAAAGCTATGCTGGAAGTCATGTTTTGAACATTAATGTGTAAAGATAACTACAACAATTATTGATATTAGCTCAGAGGTACAGTTTCACGGCCAAAAATAAATTGAAATGTGGCCAATAAGAATTACGATAATCCACAAAATATATACCAAAGCACTATTTCCAAGTAACTTAGCCATCTGACTAACTTGTAAAAGCAACAACCAGCGAAGACCGGTGTGGCAAGCCTCGTACGTTGACACACAAAACACATTACGGAATAAATATATAAGAGTTTCTCTCACGTGTTATTAATAATGTTATCTATAACAATGCTATCTAGAATAAGAAATCGCTGAGAGTTTGTTACATACCTTAGCGTCCCCGCATTCCTCAGTATTTTCCGGTTGCTGCGCTCTGGAGAGGCGTGGCGTTTTCAGTGACATCATTGAGACTCCGCCGCAGGACGACGTCAGCTTGCGTGAACCTGTTATTAAGAGTCTGCCAGGTGTTAGCACACTGATCTAAGTTAAAAACTACTTGTATGGGCTTGTTTTGCACTGTTCCTTTCTCGGTGTTACCACAACAGACTAATAACACATATACAAAGGTGTAAATGAGGGAAAGAATGAGTTTGCCTGGAAAATCTAATAATAAAGAAACAAAAATAAAGAAATACTTTTTGTTATGAATCGGTGTTTCACAAGAGAGACATCCAAAGCGCACAGTGGTAGGGACCGATTTTAATTTCTCTGGCAGTGGCAAATCCTCATTATTTATTGAGCACGTGTATGAAGTGAACTTCAGATATGTGTGCTTCACATAATTGTGCTTGCTGTTCTGTGCACAGTACATATGTATGTGAAATGTGAGTCTGTAATTGTCAGTTATTCAAGACATAATCATATAAAGAATTTTCAGCTCACATTTCAGATGTTTATCATACTGTGTAAAGAAACAATAGCTGCAACATCTCATTAGTTTTTTTAAAAACCACAGAATCTTTTTGACTTCATGGAAAATGCTCTGCAAAGTCAAGCAAGTGGACGTTAAAGACACATTAAATCTGCAGTTAGGCTAAAACATACCCAAAATACATTATGTTAACCCTCATTTGTCTGGGAAATTCCTTACATTAACTGTATGTATGCAGGATTTGTGAGTATTTATGAGACCAGCATTAGGTATTAATTTGTGCCTATTCACAGGATGTTTATAGAAATGGTCTTAAAGGGATAGTTCACCAAAAAAATGAAAATTCTGTCATCATTTACTTATCCTCAAGTTGTTCCAAACCTGTATGAGTTTATTTCTTCTGCTGAGTACAAAATATGATATTTTGAAGAATGCTCGCAACCAAACAGTTGACTGTACCCACTGACTTCCATAGCATTTTTTTCTCTACTATGGAAATCAATGGCTCCAACTGTATTCCAACTGAAATACCATTTGGGAAAATGCATTTGGTCTGACAAAATGACAAATCATATCCAAATATTATATATAAAATAATATATCTAATAATATTTAATTCTATCCATTCTAATATTTAATTCTTAACACAAACAGATGGCTCTTGACACTTGGCAACCTATGAAAAGTGGAAGACAGACAGACCGTCAATAATATGTGGCCAGTGTTATTTTTAAAGCCATCTTCTGTCATGTGACAATATGCTAATGTACAGATAATGCCAGTTAGTGGAGAAAGAAAATGATCATATTCTACTTCTGAAAAATCCAATCACTTGTAGAGTCATTACAATTACTTGATTCTTTTGTAAAAATTGTAATTTATGTATTTATATGTTCTCTTCAAAATAACATTAGAAAAAACATTGAAATATTATAATATGATAAAATATGGTAATGTAAGCATATAGATCATTAAAATAAAAGAAAACAACAAAAACATAGAACAAAAACAAATGAAAAGATGCTGTGAAGTAGTTAGAAAAACATCAATCATCAAAGAGAAAAACAACAATAAATAAATAAATATATATAAAAATAAATACCAAAATAAATGCATTAGGCCTAATAGTTTTGCAAAACTGGCCGTAAAATATGATGTCACTAAAGAAATTACAAATTTGGACGTTAAGAAGTGGAGGCGTGACTAAAACTTGATTGATTACAGCGAGAGCCAACAGGCCAAGAGTGGACGTTCGTCAGCGGACGAAGTTAGCCAATCGGCAACGTTCTGAAAAATGTGGGCGGGATATGCTTAAACAGCTGATAGTTGAGTCGGAGGAAGGCAGAGTGCGGATG